CCCTTTAACTTTGTGAGTCACGGAAACAACTATGATAAAATATATACAGGGGAAAACTGTCGACGGGCATGTGAACCCGTTTTAATTATAAATAATTACATAACAAACATGTGTGTTTCATAAGAATCCGTACTTTTGATTGACTCAAAGTGGCTCAAAGCAATCGCGAGGCATTCCAATGTCAAATTGTATTTCATAGTAAAATTTAATATTCATGGCAGCACGTGCTCCTCATGAAAACATCAAAACGATGCATAGGTTAAAAAAAAATGCTATAACTCGTAATTTCGTGGTGGAAGCAAACAAATGTGAATTGAATGCTTCATTTTGTCATTTTAAAGAGTTAAAAATGTGCTTCGGTCAACGCTTTTACACCCCAATGAAATCACATAAAGAATCATCCAAGTCTTAAATATAACATGGCAAGAGACAGGTAAACATAAACTACAAATATAGACACTGAGGTAAGTACGTGCAACAGTGCATGGTTGATCTACTTACATCTGTTTGAATTCGCTTCATAGATAAAAAAAAACAAAATATAAATTAAGATAGATGTAGGATCTATTTATTAAAATCGATAGATTTTTTTAAAATAATTTGCCAAAATGTAGTATATATTATGTCTTTTATTAAAAAAAAATATAAAAAGTATGGTCACGGGGATTTTTATCAAGCTACAGGTTGCAAAATTGTCAAATTTTGAATAGATTAAACATGGAAAACTCAAATATTTTGGTGATTAAAAGAAGAAATAATCAATAGAATTTTAAAATAAATAAATTGCTTCGCCAAGCGTGGCTGGATACGACCGCAGAGGTCCAACCCTGAACAGTTGGGGCAAAAATGGACACACTATTCGCGCTTGATACAGGTCTGAATTTGGATTGTAATTAAATATTTGACACATAATACGTTTCTGACAAAGAATAACTGTATTCAAAGAACTTAGAATTGGTTATATGATTTTAATTTATATTCAATATTTTGCTTTTGTGCAATACACTTATGCTGTTGCGAATTTACACCCCCCTAAAAAAAATCCCCCCTTTTTTTTGCTTTTGTGCGATACACTATGCTGTTGTGAATTGACCCCCCCCCCCCAAAAAAAAAATTTTTTACCCTCTCTTTTTTTTTGCAAAAAATTCTTGCCCTCAAGATATGGTCATTATCTCAATTCAAATTTCCAATTGAATTTGCAACCATAATTACCCATTTAAACATCATAAAAGTCTTAAAATAGAAAATAACATACATTATCATGTCTAAAATTAATATTCCTTAATCAGTATTTTTAATAGTAACTTCTAAAAATAAATTGACGGCTAATCACCTCAAGACAATACAACATTTCTTTATACATAATTTAAAAGCAGTGTAAGGGAGGTAATCCAAACTTAACATTGTACTTAAAAGCAATTGTCCATTAACAAGGAAACCCTTGTTTCCCCCCCCCCCCTTTTTTGTCCCTAATTCCTAAACGGTTTGAGCCATTATCCTCCAAAGCCAATCCTAACCATCCCTATGTGGTATGGAAACTTGTGGTATAATTTCAGAGAGATCCATACACCGTTTCACAAGTTATTGTCTGGAAACTAGAAAAATGCTTATGTGTGCCCCTTGTTGGCCCCTAATTCCTAAACTGTTAGGACCATAAACCCCAAAATCAATCCCAACCTTCCTTTTGTGGTTATAAACCTTGTATTTAGATTTCATAGATTTCTATTTACTTATAATTAAGTTATTGTCCGGAAACCAATGTGTCTTCGGATGACGCTGACGACGAGGACGACGACGTGATACCAATATACGACCGCAAATTTTTTTGCGGTCGTATAAAAATGAGAAGATAGCTCTTATAATGTGCATTCAGAAATAAAAAAGAAAGATTAGGGTCACTGGACTCGTTTTCTTGCTTCAGAACAAAATAGGTAAATTCATAACACATTCCTTTATAAAAGTTACATTATCGGAGTTATCTCCCCTTATATGGCAAAGTTGAAACTAATTGAATCAAACAACAAATATCTATAGTATTTGTAAACAAAAAACAGTCGAAAAAATATTTTTTTTATTTAAATGAAAAGCATAACAAATGAATTATATTCTCCTCACAAAATTTGCACTTTTAATTAAAGATCTAAACCGATTGTGTTCTTCCATTTTACAATTCAAGATGGCGGAGACACCCGATCTACCTGAGACTACTATATTTATAACACTGTGTTGCGATTGATCAGAAAATTTATGTTACAGGTGGTCATTTTTAATAAATTTCATTTATCATACCTCTGGTTTGAGCCTTGTGAATAAATGTTAAAAAGGCTGTACTAACATGACTTCATTACTTGTACTGCCACATTGAAATTGACAAAACACAAATTTTTCGATTTAGGGGACGACCATTTGGTATCGAGAGGGTTCTGGCAGATTTTGGAAATTAATATTTTGCCCCCATTAAGTTGGAAATAAATACTCTCACCTTTTCACACACTAAAATTAATATTCGAAATATTTCTGATTCGCTCCACCAGTCAGATTTACAAAGGGATAGTATACAATAGGATTATTGTCACTGGCAGATTTAGGAGGCTTATGTCCCTTTTAACTTAAAAAATTGTTTTGTCGAAAATCGTTTAAAAAAATTGGATGGCAGTTTGCGTGTAACTCTTTGGGCGAATAGAAATAAATCATAGTATTGTGGTCCTGGCCAGTGCGAGTATAAATAATCTGGCCACCTTTAACCTTTAAGAGAGCAAACAACTATAGAATAAAATTATGATTTTTTTTTTGAAATTATCTATTTTTCAAATACATTTTTTTTTACTTGAAGTATTGATGCTCATGAAACATGATCCATGATTAGCTAGGCCTGCTGGTCACATCAAATCATCTTTGCGTTTAATCATGTCCCGGTCATTACTGTTGATATTATCATGGAATGTCTGTCAAGTGTTCAAGTACAATCATGGTAGAATCCATTCAGTGATATTTTAAAAAATAGAGTAACCGAAGTGATTCAATTTTCCGTATAAAATTGGAAAGTTTTTAGGTACCAAAAACCCCAAAATTATGTAACGGAGCTAATAGAATACCATAGGCGGATCCAGGGGGGCCTGGGGGGGGGGGGGGGGGAGGGGGCCCGCCCCCCCCCCCCCTTTCGTGGGAAAAATTTGGTTGATTATATAGGGAATCACTGAAGCATGACTGGAGCCCCCCCTTTTAAGTTCAGTCAGCGCCCCCCACCCCCCTCTTTAAGAAAAGTTCTGGATCCGCCACTGAATACTAAATATGTAACTGAACTGAACTGCTCCTATACGCAGTGAATGGTTTAGATTCTTTCATTCTATAAAACAACATGAAAGGGTGTATGGGCTGGTCAAGCCTTTGGTTAGTCTGTTCACTCATTGATCATATTTTAATTTCTTGTGTTTTAATCATTTGTACCAGAAGTCCATTACTAAGGGAATCCTAGTAATGGACTTCTGGTTGTACCCAGAGGAGTACTTACATTCAGTGTCGGGCATGGTTGGATTTTAGAACGTAATATTCTTTTTATTTATAGGATATAAAGTTCAATGTTCATTCAATTACCTCACGTAAATTTTGTATAAAGGGTTTTCTTACGACAGACACATATCTATTATAATGATCAATACATTCTTGCATTTAAATCACTTCCCCAGTTTACAAGATTATACACTATAACAACTGACCTAAATATATTCTAAACGTGTTACTTCATGACATACACATTACACGTATGCGTTTTGCACACGTACATATGTATCAGCGACAAGTTACAAGTTGTATCTAACTTTATAACATTTACTTGGTTTATCGCCTGTGTGATTGTTAAAGTAGGTTCAATTTGTATATGATGTGGTGATTTAGTTTACAAGATCGATAACTGATGCAAAATGTTTACGTATGATCCCTTGGTCGCCTCTTACAGATGACTCATCCTGTAGATAAATGTATTCCGACTTAACAGTATTATTTTTTTTCCAACTCTGACAATATCTGCGTGTTTTTAATAGTCGTATATTTGGTCTCTATTGTAAAATCAACTTAAACCAATACACCTTACGTTATCTTAATATACACGGAGACCAGCTGAAGTTGATTGATTTATTATTGAATCATAATTTTGATTGACTACAGAGAGCTACAGAATGTTAAATGACTCATTAAATGTTGTTTTTGAAGAGTTGTAACTTGTTACAAATCGGATGCACGAACTATCGACGTCTTTCCATTCCGGGTTTTCAATGAATCGTGATTGTATACACGTCTGATAGACTTACTTTTGACATTTGGATTAAAACTTAATGTCAGTTTCTCTACCAGTAATAATGAAAACATGCAATAAGACAGCTGCAATAAGAGATATATTGATTGATTGGCATAATAAATTCTATGTAGATAATTTGTCACCTGTAATGCATTGTTATCGTTATTTATACTCTTGGATTGAGTATTGCTAGAGTTGTCTTTAATAATATGATATAAATATTGAAACAATGTTTGAATTTGATTTAGTGACCTCGACCTTTAAACTGCTATGTGTATTAATAAGTCTCGGACCAGAGATGCACAGATGTTTTGGTCGTTGGAAAAATTGAGTGTGGTGCTCAGATGGGGTGGGGAACATATCCTTTTTTGCCAAGATAGTGAAAATGTTATCACTCTAGCCAGAGAGTATATGTAAAGCCTGAAACTTAAGGCTATTAAAAAAAGGGGGATCAACATTCCATTGATTGTAAGTTTGAAACGTACTTTCACTGGAACTCTGTTAATGCCATGGTCGTTAATGGCTATGTCCTTCAAAAAAAATATTCTTAACTCCCGAGAATTTTATATTTGCCTTTCTCATATAGCATTCATATATGGAATTTTTTAATCCGTGTTGTATGGTCGCAACACGTTGTGGAACAAGACATGTCAATATCGTGTGAATAGGGAAGATTCAGTCCCCCCTTTTTCCACAATATATTTACACTGCTTTAACAACCTCCGAGTACTGAGTACTGAGGAGGTAGAGTTGGACACTCCTTGAGAACTCGCACGACACTGGATTCCATTGGTTGAGCAACAGATTTGCATATTGAACTTGGCGCATGCGCATACATATGAAATTGCAGCCATTTTGGACCTTTGAATCCGACCAGATCAACCAACCTGCAAAATGACAAAAGAAATTAAGCAATTTTGACATGGTGAGTTAATATTTTATTACCATAATAATATACATTTCAAAAGCGTCAATCTTCGTGCGATCGTCTGCTGACATTTTCGTCACTTGCATTGTTTACACCAACGACGTCGATAACAGACAATCCCGACGATCACCGACGCTAAAATTTGACAGAAGAAACAACTGAATACTTACAATAACACGGAAATGCATGAACATAAATGATATTAAACCAATCAATTCCACAAAAGAACAGCCATGTTGTTTTGATAACCAGCTATACGTTGTGAGTCGACCCCTCGTAAGCAGACCACGTGACCGTTGACGAACTAACACGGGCTACATGCAGGTTCAAATATGATGAATATATTATAAGAATTTAAAAAAGGAATATATCATACCAGCCGTGAAACAGACCTTTTTATATGGAGAGTTTGTAAATTTTAACAGTTGAACCTTTAATTTTCATTTCCAGAAGTGTGCAACGATATTCAAAGAAATACTGACCCCCCTTTTTTAAACTTATTTGCACTTTCATTAATTAATTTGTAATAGAATATTCCCTGAGACTGCTGTAAACTCTATTAAATAGAAATATATTGAACAATTATGTTGGATATTTTCAGTTGAAGATAAATATAATTTTATTTTTACTGGCCAAACATATTATGCCAATTTATAAAAAAATGGAATTTTAAATTGTCGTCAGGAGCAATAGATAGTCTTTTTTCAGTTTTAAGTCAAGTTCTTAATTTTGGTTAGATTCATGACTATTCAAATTAAATTAAAAAAAAAATCATTTTTCATGAATGATCATGAAGGTGTGCCATTTCAGGTAAATGGGCAGTAGGAGGGGGTGTCATCCCAAATTCCTGAAAAAATAAAGCATTCTTTCCCAGATTCTGAAATTTTTTTTAAAATCAATAATTCCCAAGTCCCAATAAGGATAAATCCAGAATTCCTGCCAAAATAAAGGCCCAATCACAATTTCCTACTGTCGTCAGAAGATGGACATTCTAGCCAATCAAATTCGCCTCCAATGTTACAAAATTGCAAAGTCATTTTTTGTGCCCCCGCCGTAGGCTACAGAGGCATTAAGTATTACCCTTGTCTGTCTATCCGTCCATCCCATTTTCGTTTCTGCACTCTAACTTAAGTTTTCCTCATGCAAATTTAATGAAACTCGTCCACAAGGGTGAGAACCAAAACTCACAGAATTCGAATTTGGGCAGTGAGTCACTTAGCGTTCTCGAGTTTCGACCCTTTTTAACGTGGAAAATTGCAAAGCTTGAGCGGGGGCATTCATGTCCTCAGACAGATTCTTCGTTTATTTATCATTTCTATCGACGTTGTTCCACCTCCCTAGTCCTATTGGGAGTATGTGACTTCTGGTTATACATTACAAAAAATAATTCTTTCATGCATATATCATGTATATCCAAGATCTCAAAAATTTTTGAATATTATAATCGACTTGGAAAATTGAAGAATAAAACCGTTGTTGTCCTTTTCCTGAAATTTTAGATGTCTCTTTTTGAAATGGCTGGTACATATTTCAATATATTTTTATTATGCCCCTGCCGTAGGGGAGGGGGCATCTCAAGTTTTACCCTTGTCCGTCTATACGTCCGTACGTCCCAAAATTGGTTTCCGATCCCTTACTTTAGTTTGCCTCAACCAAATGTTATGAAACTTATACACAATGCTTATTACCACAAAACACAGATCAAGTTTGAATTTTGGTGGCATCACTTTTACTGTTCTAGAGTTATGCCCCTTTACATCGTTTCCGTTCTCTAACTTTTGTTTGCCTCAACCAAATGTTATGAATCTTACACACAATGCTTATTACCACAAAACACAGATCAATTTGAATTTTGGTGGCGTCACTTGTACTGTTCTAGAGTTATGCCCCTTTACAAATGGAAAAATTGCTGAATTTTTTGTTTCCGTTCTCTAAAGTTTGCCTCAACCAAATGTTATGAAACTTTTACACAATGCTTATTACTACAAAACTCAGATCAAGTTCGAATTTGGGTAGTGTCACTTTTACCGTTCTTGAGTTATATCCCTTTATAACGATATATGCAAGCGGGGGCATCAACACATTCCCCATTTATTACAACAAAATTAATGTTCAAACAAATTTAATGGATTAAATGAAAGGCACAGTCAATTTAAATCCCTTTTCTCTCCAGGAGAGGAAGAATAATATCTGGTCAGGTTTTTAAGTATAAAAGAAATTTATACATCATTTTACTTTACAGTGAACTTAGGGAAGGCAAATACCCTAACAATATGTAAGGTAAGTATCAAACAGTGGACTGTTTTTGGTTTGCTAAATAGACCCTATAAAAATACTTTCCAATAGTGATGTTCATATTACTGATTTAATCAAAATCGAAAAATCTATAGATTATTTGATAATAATTGTAAAAGAAATAGTTTTTGGGAAAAGCTTGCAATTAGACAATCAATAGCTTTTCTAAAAAGCTTCCAATTAGAAAATCAGCTAGACAATTTAAAGCTTTTCTTAAAAGCTTGCAGTATAGAAAATTAGTAGCTTATAAAAAAAGGTTGGACTTTGATAGGTAATAGCTCTTCTATTTCCAAAGAGTTCCGTCTCAACCATTTTAATTACCGTTACAGTCTTTGATTCAACTGCTTGACAAATGTGGGTAACATTACATCATGGTTATTTGTCCAAGTAAAAGCTTTAACTGAAAAATTACCATCTCAAATATGATTATACAGAACATTTGGGGTATTTTGGCATTGTAGTTTTATCCATTCAAAATAGTCGCTGTTGCATATAAAAAGTTGGGTAACAAAACAAGGACGAGAAAAAAGCTGATACAATTTTTGAGGTTTTAAATTTTTTTTTTGGTGTTGTATTTCATGTTTTATAGAAACTTTGGAATGGAGGTAATTTCTAAATCACTTACGTTTTTACCCTTTTCTCATTTTGGTTAAAATTTGGTACCAATATGTAGGTGTTCTGGTTTTTCCATGTTATTTTTTTCATCCGATATATATAATTTATTTACTTTTTGTTTGTTTGCTTGTGTTTGAAAAGTTTGAACAATTAAAGTCACTTTCCCTTAAACCTGTTTCCGTATTCTGCAATCTTCGTGTCAGAAAAGCAATGGAGTTTGATCATTACAGAAGGCATTTATATATTTCAAATGGTTATGGTATGGGGTTTGTCTACATAAAGTCCAAACAAACAAAAAATAACAAAAAATGTGTTGCACATATTATTTTTATCATGATTCTGTATTCTATACTGAATTTTTGTAGAACTACACACCCAAGTGAGTCTGAAAAACAATATGAACCCCTCCTTAAACCTTGACAAGAACTTGTCCTACCTTCTTATTAAGCACTTCCTAACATTTAATAAATGCTTAAGTTGGGCAAGTTTTTTGAAAAGCTAATACTTGTTCAGATATATATTGGTAAATCAAAATCTAACAGATCAGTTCTCAGTTAATTTAGAGTCAGTGTCATTCTCTAGCAATTGAAAGGGGGCAGTGTTCTTACATGTATATTGATAGAAAACAGTGCATGCATTTGCCTGTCTTGCAACAGGGTATAACAAATAAACACTTCATTCAATTTTTTTCTTGCTGTGACGAAGTAAAAAATGCAAGACTTAGCATGCTGTTTCCAGCGGCTGTGGAAGTGGCATGAAAAATGTATTAGCTTGTGATTAGGTCAGTTTTTGGGGAACCACTAGTGGTAGGTTAATGAAATTTGACATGCAGTTGTATAAGCATTGACACATCTCATTTCCATGGCAAAAGTTGGCCCCTCCCTGTTTCTGGCCTTAGTCTTTTTCTATTGACCCTGAAACTTTTGCTTAGTTTATAAATTTGTAATAAGGTCAGTTTAAGGAGAAACAATTTGGTTAATTTTCATGTTTGCATTATCATTGCTCTTTGAGTGAAGAAAACAGAAAATGTAAGAATACTAAGAAGTTGTGGTATGGTTACCCCAGGTATGATTGTCAACTGTCCACCAAAGCTAAAAGAGATGAGAATATCAACAGGTCACCATCCAACTTTCCGCAAGGTGTAAACATTGTATCATATAAGAGAAAGAGACAGGATAACCAATTGTGAAAAATTCCAAACAAACAATGCAACTACTGACCTGTTTCAGTCAATAATAATTAAAAAAAGACAACAGTGACACAAGAACAACTACTTGATATAAACTATAATACAGGCTCTTAAGCTTTGGACAGACATATTCAGCAGAAGTCAAGTCATGTTTTAAAGTTGATGGGATCAACATCGACATGAACGTGAATGTGGACACTCAGTCGGAGGATTCAATCCCCTCCCACATCTTCAATGGAGTAAATGTTAACAGAAATAAAGCAATCAACTTTATATGAAGCCACTAGGGCAAGAAGATCAAAAGAAAACAAGAGGCCAGAATTATGATACCAAATCAGAAATTCTTTTGGTAACAGATTGTTCACTATTCAGCTAAATATATATCATTTTTTTCCTAAACCAACATAGATTTTCAACTTGTGATCTGTTTAAAGGACAATAAACAACAGACAAAAAGTACAACAGCTCTTTTCACCAAAAAAATCTGACGTTTAAAAAATACAGAAATTATCCTGAGTAACAACTTTGTAACAATTAATTTTTCTCTGAAGATTTTTTGTGGAAAGATTCCCTGATACCAAACCAAAGGTACTTTTGATAACAGAAAGATTGTCAGTTAAAAAACCTATCATGCTTTCCTAGATAGACATAGATCAATACTACAATATCTGATTGAGTTTGGTGTAAACCTCATAAACATGCAATCCAAGCAATGTATGAGCCTGTGCAATGTCCAATTTTTGCATTGGGTAGTTGTAGGACCACAACTACTTAAACTTTTTAAAATCAATGTTTGTACAGACTAAAGCAGTAGTTTCTGTCTTAATGCGATTGCTTAGATGCCTAATTGAGCACTTACATATATTCTTTCAGAAGCTTGATTTCCTTGACAGCATCAACAGTTCATTTTTATACGACCGCCATATAGTGGTATGACCTTGTCGTCATCGGCATCGCGTCCGAAGACATTTGGTTTCCAGGCAGTAACTTGAATATAAGTGTATGGATCTCTATGAAATTGTACCACAAGGTTCCATACCACAAAAGGAAGATTGGGATTGATTTTGGGGGTTATGGCCCAAACCTTTTCCGGAATTGGGGGCTAAAAAACTAAGATTTTCTGGTATCTGGACAATAACTTGAGTATAAGTCTATGGATCTCTATGAAATTGTACCACAAGGTTCTATACCAAAAAAATTAAGGTTTGGTTAGAATATGGGGGTTATGGCCCTAACTGTTTAGGAATTAGGAACCAAAAAGGGACTGAAACCAATTCTTTTTGTCTCACCTTGAAGGAGTCTCTGTGTTAACAGTTTATCTAATACTTTGTAGAAATTCATTATTTCTTGACCAATTTCAATGGGGTTTAATTCAAAGTCTTAAATTCTTGCGGTTCTTTGATATGCTGAATCTAACCATGTATTTTGATTTTGGGATTTTTATAGGCCCAGTTTTTAAATTGGTCCACGTTAAGGTCCAAAGGGTCCAAAATTTAACTTTGTTTGATTTTAAGGGTTCTTTTATATGCGGAATCTAAACCTGTATTTAAATTTTTGATTTTGGACCAAATTTTCAAGTTGGTCCAAAATTAGACTTTTGTTTGATTTCAACAAAAATTGAATGTATGGGGTTCTTTAATATGCTGTATCTTATCATGTATTGTGATTGAGGTTTTTGGGCCCTGTTATCAAATTGGTCCAAATTTAGACTGTGTTTGATTTCATCAAAAATTGAATCCTTAGGGTCTTTGATATGCTGAATCTTACCATGTATTTAGATTTTGGATATTGGACCATAAAAAGTAAATTTCCAATTTCAAATTTAAGTTCTTAGACCATATTCATTCTGTGTCACAAACCTATGCTATGTCAAATATTTAATCCCAATCAAAATTCAGAGCTGTATCAAGGTTGAATGTTGTGCTGATACTTGCCCAAACTGTTCAGGGTTTGACATGTGCAGTAGTATCAAGCTGCGCCTTGCAGAGCATTTATTAGATGTATTTTCATCTTCCATTTTTATATGCTACTACTGGTTGCAAAGAAGTAGACGAGCAAATTAAAAAAAGTGGAACCATTTGATATTTATGGGCCTAAGATTATTTTTTTAAATTGTCAGGTTACAGACCAATTGGAAAAAAGCCTTAAGAACCCAGGTATGTCTTATGAAAAAAAATCAAAATTTTACGATGAATCTAAGCAATAGCAAGAAAGAAAATAAAAAGTCTTGATGACTGCTTATAAAAAAATCACAATTGGAGATCCCTTTCCTTGATATATACTAATTTTCATGTAAAAATTGACATTTTTGCTACATGAAAAAAAATTTCTTTGTCTTGCCTAGAGGTGATTTAAGGAAGGTATGATTTAAAATTAGACACTAGAAAACTAAACCTGCCTGGTCTATTACGAAACATACAAAAAGAAAAACAAATATCGAAGACAGCAACCATCAACAGCCACTAAATGATATAAAAATAAGGAGATTTGGTGTGATTGCCAATGAGACAACTATCCATCAGATTCAAATGACGTGGATATAAGGAATTATAGGTCATTGTACGCCCCTCCAACAATTATGAAAACCCATACTATATAGTCAGCTATAAGAGGCCCAGACAATAAAAATATGAAACAATTCAAACAAACAGCCTAATTTATAACAAAACATATTGTGGATTCATGGTTTATCAAAGTCTCCCTTCAAGACTACAGACTATTTGTACTTCAAAGTATATATAATTCGTGGATTACCTTTACCGTCAGGCCACAAAATCCACGAAAATTGGTATCCCAGAAATAATGGGTAATAATGAATCCACAGTATACATTTGTACAAAAAACAATATGACCGACATGGCCAACCAACGACAACTACTGAATTGCAGGCTCCTGACTCTTGGACAGATGCCTAAAGAATATGGCAGGGTTGTGTTAGTAAGCATTCAACCCTCCCCTTACCTGTACAGTTGTGTAACAGCACAACATATGAACAAACTGTAAAAGTCAGTTGCAAAAGACTTAACTCAATAGAATGGTACAATGCACTAAAAACAACTAACTTAAAAATAATGCCAATTTCAACTAAAAAATAATGTTCTCCCAGACAAAAGAAAGTATCAATCAGTTCACATCAAACAGATTTAGTACATGCCTATATGGCAAACTAGTTCTGAAAGGGTCATTTTCATTCTTTCTTGTTGCCATTTTCTAACATCAGCCATTGCTATAGGAAAGTAAGGCACTGACCATTCTTATTTTGGGAAGGGGATATGGTTTTTTCTATCCAGACAAACTTTTTTCAACTTTAAAAACAAACTATTTTTTCAATAATATACAGGAACAAGAAATTGAAAAAATTAAATAATATAAATCACCCATTTTTTTGTGTGTACATATTCAGCTTTCGGCCATAACGCCCCCTTCCCTTTTTGAAAACCCTGGATCCCCCCTGAATTTATTTTCAAAATTTTATGGAATTTTGCACATATTTTGACCCCAGCAAAGCCGACAATGAAAGAGTTTTTGTAAGTAACCGTAATTTTGAAATGGATGCAATGATGTTTGACAAGAAAACATGTGCAACCCAATTTAACGATCGCATAGGACGTCAAAAATAAATACAAATCTTGATGTGCGGTAAACACGTCAATGGGACAGCAACCCTATTTTCCCAATGACACAAATAAGCAATAGACATAGATCTCGAGTTTCACAAGCCACTAACAGCAGGAAAAGTTAGGACGGCCCGGAAGTCCGTATCAAACACAGCTTCGAAATCTTATGTTATGAAAATCACATGGTATATCTCTGAAAATTTGTGCATTTTTGTACCGTATGACGTAATGCTTCTACTTATCGTTTATTTAAATATTGATTCTCAATCTATTTCGCGTTGGAAATTCCATGCGATTTATATGATCAGTAATAGGTACGGCAATCAATATCTTATATTATCATGTATGCCACCAACTCCATTATTTCAATAAACTATATTGATCACCAGTTTTTTTATTTCTTAACTATTTAAAATAAGACATTGAAAGATTAACCGTTTATTACAGAGTTGAAATAAGTATATTAAATATCCCGGTTTCATTTGAAAGGAAGAAAAATGGGACATTTATTGTAAATATTGTAAAAATTGATTGTTTGTAAATGACGTTCGAGAGAATTTTCAATAGCGAATAATTTGTCTGGTGTATCTTTTTGGTACACACAATACACAAATAACTTTAAAATTTATATTTCACAAATAAACGATTAACAAGTTTATACGTATATATACTTAGCATTTAGTAAACATCAGAGAAACGTAAGAAAATTTACAGATTTAAAATGTTCTAAGTGGGTCATGACCTCGATACCGTTTATTTTTAGCATACAATATCGTCATTCGTCGACATATTTTGGTGTTCAATGACCTGAAATTGAAATTATACGTAAAAGCTGAATACAGCAAAAATCAGAAACTGGTTTCAAAAGAATAGTGTAGTCTTCTGAATAATCTTATGAAAATATATATAGTTTAAAATTATTTCACTCCACATTTTATTAGAGGTTTCTGACTTTCATTTTACATGCGTGAATAATTATATATTTTCACGTGAACACCATATCCAGTTGAAAAGTCATTTATTATTTTGATATTTAAAAAAAAAGGCTTTCTCCAAAATCCCTGACCATTTGGCCACTCTTCCTTTTTGAGATTTTCCCTTCTTTGTACTGTCTTAAATGTCAATGCGGTCCGCATGCGCAGACTAATAACCAATAAGATTTTCTGAAGCAACTAGCTTAGAAATCTTGTTTTAAGAAAACTATTTAAAAAAATACTTTTAATGAAAGGAAAAAAATAAGATTGTTGCTGTTTTTTGGGTGCGTTGTCTATTAAGAACGTGCCAAACAAAAAACTCAACTTTACTAAAATATCGCATACCGCAGCTTGGTTACGCGTACCTTTTTTGGTGATGAAACCTAAATTGATAAATTTAGAAATGAAAGCAAATATCTTGAACCTCACTCGCTTAAAGCAGTTCATATTATGTAAGATTAAATAATTAAACCGAAATTGAAAAAAAATGCGATCAAACAAACTAAAAGGAAATGTAAAATACGATGGATATCAGATGTATAGACCAGATTTATATAACATCATGTATGCTAACATATATTTTTTTTTACAATTTGATTAATTTGCTTTTTATCTGAAGCCGGTGATGTGTAAAACATTTACATGGTCAGCTCTCAAAATTATCATAATTTTATTCACGCGGTTTAGTGCGCACGTTGATAAAGTCTGAATTTTATTTTTGCAGTTGCAAGTTGTCATATGTCTCTATTGTGAATATATATTTGTAATAATTTAGCGGTTATTTTCCCTTTATTATTAATTTTCATTTATCCCATTGGTAGCCCCATTGAACAATCTAATTTCTCTTTGTGTATTTTATGTAGGTGTGCTAATATCAGCCGGGAAATCAATATGGCTCTGTAGTCACGTGACACGCGTATCTCTCTCAAGATTGACGAACAATTACTGAATGTATGACAATTAGATTTCTTTTAATTTTGCTCCCATAAAGGATTTTTTATTGGTACGAACACTTCTGATTGGTCACGTTTGTTGAAGCATTTGCATATCATAATCCTATGAAATATATTAACTCAATATCGGATGTTAGTTCAAGAGTTACGACCCCTACGCCATGAGAAAGACAATGACCATTTGGCAGACGATGAATCATGAACCGAACATCCCTTCGAAGAATGTCTAACATTGTGTGTGTCGCGGAGTCGGTTCATGATATATGACAACGTACTAAAATAGTTTAGTGTGCAAGACATAATTTTGATTTTGTTCAAAGCGAAGTCAACCATTAAAAAGAATGTTATTCGTGTAGGGGTGAAGAAATTGATCAAAACAAACATTTATGTTATATAAATGAAAACTTAAATAATTATTTAACTAGGTGACTGACAGTTTTCTGGTAAAAAGTGCCGAAATTCGACGATGGAAATCGTGGACGTTTTACGGGGACGACCATTTGATTACTGTGGTGGGGGTTGGGTGGATTTTCAAAGATAAGATAAGATATTTATTAGTGTAAATCCAAACAATCGAATTGCTACTGAATACATGAAATGACACACATAAACGATACAAATGAACAACTAGCAACACATGCAAATAAATGGCCAATCCGGACAAAATTATCCGGCCCCCTCCCCGGAATCATACCGTTGAACATTCATGCAAATTTTCATATATTTCACTCTCGCACGTATTATGTATTATGCGTATACGTCTGACATGAAATTTTTTGACGTTTTGCTATAAGTAAACTATAATACAACAGAGAGATGAAGTTTTATATATTTTTAAACACGGAAATACCTGCTGCGCTTATAAATATAAAGATTATATATGATCAGCTCTTCGAAAAATCACAACAGTTAACCTGTTGGTGTGGGTATGAATTCGCAGGAATGACGGAAAAAGATAAAAAGAAAACATGAAACAAGTTGTAACTAGAACTTAGTAAAATTATATCTATTTTAAAGTCGGTATTCCAGACTAGAGTATAATATTTGTGTATTTTGGACGGCAGTTGTGTGTTTCAGTTATATAAGGGTAAAACATACATGTGTAAAACGACATATTTCGCAATTTTTTTTTTTATCGAATATGTAATAGAAAAACTAATATGAATTTAATCATTGTTGAACTAAATCAAAGAGGTATTCAGGGATATAAATCCGAAAGTTGTTAAAAACCTGTTCTATTGGAATTTGAATACTAAAAAGAAATAATAATACTCATAGATTTTGAAAACAGTTTACACCGTTAACAACAGATCAAATCATCTTATTTTAATCAGAAATTGAGAATGTATCACATAGTAAAATTTGCATGTGAATAACTTGTTTTAGAAAGAAAGAAAAGTATAACGTAGGACATCAATTTATATTTACTTTTAATATAATTTTGTTCTTTTTACTGTATTTCTAAGCATAAGAAGGCAGGTTTTTTTATTGTTGAAATTCGGAAAAATATTCTTTACGATTCCGTCCTACTGTCCGGGTTTTTTGCGGTGACTACGAAGTACGGTTGAGTATGTTAACATTTGTGGAAAGGGAGACAACTCGTGCTTTTTTA